AATAAATAACAAATAACATTATCAGACTCATACTCCTAATCTAACTAGACTTGAGTCTTCCCGTTATCCTGAGTGGCTTGTGATCTTCCTGAAATGTTAGTACTCATGGACAATAGCAAAACATAAATGATATTAAATGAAAAGTAGTTCAGCCGACTTTATTTGTCATCATCAAAATCTCAAACTCGGGGTCATGAGTTACAACACTTATAACTCCACTTCTACTTATATTTCTCTTTAATCTTCAACATCTACATCTAGGAAGTGTGACCTGAATCAAAATATGATTATGACACATAACCTTCCATGCCTATTTTTAGCAAGTGAGGGCAGAATCCCTATCACATCCATTCCAGGAAAGCGAGGAAAGAATACAATAAATAGGGGTCTTATAATAAATTAGACTGCAATTTTTGACATATGAAAGTATATTCAATGCCATGTTATGTACTAGGCAAATGCCATACAATAGTAATTGAGTTAAAAATCTAATACAATGCTTAGATAATGCATGAATTACTAGTAACAAAACCCATATTACTTATAAAATATAATATTAACTAAATTTTACCCCTTTAAATTTTTGACTTCATGGGAACATTCACATGAATATTTTAATACTTTTATATATCTATTGCATTTATTACAAAAAATCAATTCAAGTAGAAATTCATGTTGTGAAAGAAAATAGATAAAACTTCAATTTAATATAGCCAAAATGTTCTTAATAAGGAATATAAATATTAATAGCTATATGGTGAAAACTTCATAAAAATTAAGAAAAAATTATTTTTGTACATTCTTAAATTTTATAAACTAACTAGAATTTAAATTGGAGATAGGGTTTATAAAGCATACCTTATGTTTTATGAAATCCCTAATTAGTGTGATAGGAAAATCCAGAGCCTTGGCCTTTGAAACCACTCTTCTTTGTTCTCTCTCCTCTTTTCCTCTTCTCCTCTCCTCCTTCTTTCTCCAGCAAGGTGGCTTAGTGAGGGAGTTTGGCAAATTGATTTAGATATTTAATTATATAAAAACCATTATTTGATCTAATGCAGCAATATTAGCTTCTTAGTTCCACAACACTTAATTAAATCTTTTGGATTTGCCTAGAATCTTTCTAAATGGATAGCATGGTGGTGCCACCTAGTGTTGCTCTACACATTCAAAATAAATTTCTCTAGAGAGCTTAATACCACAGTGCTTTCCCCTCGATGTCGCAATGCTCCCAAAGAATATTTTATGACCAAATTAAGTTCTACTTTCCAAAATTACTTTCCAACTTTCACATAGGTTCATTAAGTAAACTTCTTAATTATCAATTAACTCAACTTAAAAGCACATTAAAAAAAGTTACCTAAATTTTTTAAGAGAAATATTACATCCTCCTCTCCTTATTCAAAGTTTCATCTTTGACATTCCAGTACATAATATTTTAAAAGTAGATATGGATATAGCTATCTAATCCTGACGGCTTTCTCCCTGGTTTGGGAAAATAAAATTATAATTAAAGTCCTTGTACATTTGGGGTATACCTCTTCATGTGATTGAGTATGACATTGAGAATAAAATACCATCTCAAAAGATAGATAAATTAATCTATAATGTGTTCAAATAGAAAATTAGCTTTGGAAATCATTCAATTTAATAATCAAATATAAATAAAAGAATAACATGCTATCTGAAAAGATAAAAAGTTTATTCTAAAATATTATTTAAAGATGAAAGTGGGTTTTGAAAATTCTCTATTTTAATTATCAAATACAACAACAATAATATCATATTACATCAAAAGATGAAAATTATATTCTCTCAAGTGATTTGAATAAAAAAATTGAGATTTTGAATCATCTACATTCTCATAGATTTTTTCATATCTTATGAAAATAAGATAGGATTTATTTTTGTCTGGAGTTACAAGTTCACCAAAAAGGCAAGCCTTTATGGTTAATAACATCTTAAGAGAATTAAATATATTAACAATACTCTCAATTAAAGTAGTGGAAAATATTTTCTTAGATTCTAATGATTAATATAAGTATAAGGGGTAAGAAATTTTCAAAAGTGATTGGATCAATTTGGAAGAATTATTTCTAGAAGCCAAAGGAATGAATAATATGGAGCACTTTAAGTTTTTGGGAACTCTTAGAAGCACTCCAATCTATCTTATTTTAAGCTTTAATATTTTTAGGGAAGATTGTATACTTGTGTTGACATTTTATTAGATATTTGGTATTACATTCCTCGGAGGGTAAGGACTTATGTTTTGAGGTCTTCATTAGAACCTAGATCTTAGTTGTGCACTTAAACTTATTTTAAGTGGAGTGATGAATTTCTGGGCTAACATTTGTCTAGAGTGGAAAGATAGCTAATCCACATAATCATCTTAAAATCCATGCTATCTAGACTTTATGAAAAATGGTTTGGCTATTTTTTAAGTTCTTTGAATTTTAGGACTAACATCTATAGAAATTTCTTTGGGCCCATTGCTTATGAATAATATTATGGTTCTAGAATTGCTGTAAATAAATTTTAAATTTTTTTACTCAAAGGGTGCTAGTTGAAGTATCACTAATATAAAATCTTGAAATTTTTAAAGAAGGCTTAAGAGTTTATTTTAAAGACTAGGATTTCTTGGGTCCACATCCTCATAAGTTAGATTATATGAACTCCATGCTAAACCATTGAAGTATCTAAAATAATGATTGAAATATGATAATATGCATGGAACCATGGATGGTCACCAGTTTACTTTCTTAGTGAGATTATCTTTTAATGTTATTTATTCTTATAATTTTATTTTTAAATTACGAGTGGATGAATTTTCATTCAGAAGAGCCTAACACCGAAATTATGGCTGAAGCACTTACAAAAAAAAAACTTATAAAAACTTTCAATTTCTACCACAAAATTAATTTAAATAATCATAAAAGAAACTAAAGAATATAAAAAGTCCATGTGGTAAGTGCCACATGATTATAACCTAGGGTCTCACACCCCTGCTTTCAGTAAATAGGATAGAATCCCGCACACATCCCAAGTAGTTATATGGGGCTATAACATAACACATAGGTCTCTTGTAACATATCAAATAGTGCACATTTTCATATATAAAAAAATCTCCAATGTCATGTTATGCACAATGCAAATGCTATACAATAGTAATTAAATTAAAAATTAATGCAATACAGAGATAATGCATGAATTGCTAGTAAAAAAAATACCTTACTTATAAAACATAATGCTCATTGAACTTTAATCCTATCAATTTCTACTTCATGAAAATATTCACATGAACATTTTAAGAAAATTATATAACTAATGCATTTACCAAAAAATCCTCAATTCAAGAATACGCTCAAATATTTGTGTAAGGAAAATCAACCGATAAAACTTTAATTTCAAGTAGCCAAAATTCAGGGAATAAGGAATATAAAAGCATATTAAAAACTACATGGTGAAAATTATATAGCACAAGAAAAAATATTTTTATTCTTAATTTTTTATAAACTTGCTAGAATTTAAATTACAGTAACGGGTTTAGAAGTCTATCTTTGGCTCTATGAAATCCTTTAATTCCCTGATGGGAAAATCCAGAGCTTTTGCCTCCTTTTGATGGAAACCTGCATTAACAGAGAAGCTACAAAGGAAATAGAGGAGTTAGCAAAGAAGCGGAAAGTGGTTTTAATATTTTATTCATTGACATTTTCATCCAGCTACTGTTTATATATATAGAGGAGTAGAGCAGCCACGTGATTCGTTAGATGGATCTTTCCAGAAGGCAGCTAGTGCCTGCTATCATTGGTTGCTAAGAGAAGTGGGCATATGGAGCTAGTATATTCTATCAGGCCCTCTCAAATTGATTATCCTTGGGAAGGAGAGTCAATTTGGTGCGAAGTTCTAGGAACCGAGTTATAGCTAGAGGCTTTGTCAAAAGATCGATGGGTTGAGCTATAGAATTGATTTGTAGGACCTTAATTTCCATGTTGATGAGGTGGTGACTAATAAAGTGATAATCAATCTTGATATGTTTGGTGAAAGCATGGAATATGGAATTCTTAGCCAGCGCTATGGTGGAGTTATTATAGCATAAAACTTTTGTAGGATGAGTTTGAGAGGCATCAAATTCATGGAGAAGTATTCGAAGCTAGAAAATATCTGAGGTTGCCGCTTCTAAGGCATGGTATTCAACCTCGGTGGATAACTTGGCAACTATGGTTTTCTTTTTCACTAACCATGAAATCAGATTCGAGCTACGAAAAGTGCAGAAGTTTGTAGTGGATTTTTGGTCAATATTGTCGGATGCCCAATACGTATTGATGTATGTTGAGAGATCTAAGTTGCTGTGAAGAAGGGGAAGCCCGTAGGTGATGGTACCTTGTATGTAACATAGAAGTCTCTTTAAGGCCTGAAATTAGCTCGATTTAAGTTCATGCATATGCCGGTAGATTTGGTTGGTAGTGAATGAATGCAGTGTTCGGTCTTGTAATGGTTAAACATTTGAGTGAGCCAGCTAGCTATCTGTAGAAAGTTGGGTAATGAAATGTTTGTTCTGCAGCTATATGAGGCTGTCATTTGAGAGCAATAGGAGTGGGAGAAGGTTTGCAGTTCATAAAGTCACTAGCTTGGAGGATGGCTTGGGCATATTGTTGCTGTCAAGAAAGTATCCTGTGGGAACTGAGGTGATCTAAATGCCTACAAATAGTGAGACAGGGATGGGTTCTTTGAGGGAGAAAGTTGTTTTAAGTTTGGTGAGGAGATCTTGTATGAACTTGAGGTTGTTGCCAGTAACAAGCATGTCATCAACGTATATAATTATGTATATAAGAATGGTATCGACTTTGTAAAATAGAAGCGAAGGACCAGACTTACTAATTGGAATCTTGCTTCTTGAAGTGAGAAATAAGCATGTGGTACCACTGCCTTGGGGATTGCTTAAGGCCGTAGATGGCCTTGCAGAGCTTGTGGACATGGTTAGGAAATTATTTATCCACAAAACCCTATTGTTGGCACATATAGACATCTTCCTCGATATCACCATGGAGAAATGTGTTGGAGACATCCAATTTAGTGACTTGGCAGGCATGTTGATTGGCAATTTCTAGTAATATTTGAATGGTTGGTAGCTTGGCCACAGGGCTAAATGTACCATGGTAGTTGATGCCAAGTTGCTGATCAAAGCATTTTTCAACAAGCCGTGCTTTGTAGCGATCAATTTTCCCATTCAAATTTAGTTTGATCTGGTAAGTCCATTTACACCCCAGAATAAGATGCTGTGATGGTGGAGGGATAAGAGACCACATACCTTGTCGGTGAAGGGCTTGCAATTCTTCGGTCATGGCAGCACACTAATTGGGGTTCTTGTTGGCTTGAGTGAATGAGGTTGGAGTAGAAGAAGTGATGTTGGTAGCTAGCAGTTCGAAGATAGGTTTGGGCTTGATAATTCCAGATTTTAGATGAGTTAACATTGGGTGTGTAGGTGGAGGTAATGAAGTGGGAATGGGTGAGGTAGATGAGGAGGAATTGAGATCAGCGGTGGGAGGGTTTGGCTGAGATGTTGTAATTAGAGGACTGGAGGATGACTATGGGAGATAGGGAGAGTAGTCTGTGGTTCTTGTTTTATTGGGGGAGTAGGTGTTTGGCTGTGAAGTGGGTAGATTTATGGGAATAGATAGATACAAGAAAGTGTGTTTGTGGAATACAACATGTCCATAAATGTGTATTTTGTTGGTGAGAGGGTCAAAGCATTTGTACCCTTAACGAGTAGGAGAGTACCCAATGAATTGAGATCAATGGTAAGAGGGTCAAAGCATTTGTACCCTTTGTGAGTAGGAGAGTACCCATTCAAGAGACCATGGTGACAACTTATTGGGTGCTTGGTATCGAAGCCATGGGAAGCATTGGAAACTAAAGATGCGGAGATGGTAGTACGATGCTGAGGAGTGGTAAAGTAATTGGAATGGTAGTCTATTAATGAGGTAATTAGCGTTGAGCAGTGCATCAACCAAGAAAGAATGGAGTAAATGAGCAGTGAGTAGAAGTGTGTGAGTTGTGTCGAGGAGGTGGTGATGCTTGCGATCGATTAGGTCATTTTGTTCGAGAGTATGAGGATAGTAGAATTGTAGGAGGATGTCATTTATAGAGAGATATAATTTGAATTGGGTGCTTGTGTATTCCCCAACCACATAAGACCAAATTATTTTTATTTTTGTTTGAAATTAATTTTGAATGATATTAGAGAATTGTTTGAATTTAGAAAAGGTTTATGCCTTTGAGTTCATTAAGTATAGCTAACAAAATCTGGTGTGGTCGTCTATGAAGATAAAATTATAAGGATAACCAGCAAGTGAAGATATGGTAGCGGGGCCCCAAACATTTGTATGAACTGACATAAATGGGCTTAGACATTGATTGAACTTTTTGGAAAAGATAATTTTATATCTTTTAGCCTTATTACAAAACTTTCAAACTATAGAAGTGGGAGAGATACATATAGAAGAGTCTAATTTAGCTATAGTATGTAAGATAAGTTGATGTGGATGGACTAGCCGATCATGCCAAGCTTGGGTGGAGGTCAGGCTGGACTTGAGAGCTTAAAAACATGAGCTGGATAAGGATGCGGATAGCAGGTAGAGACCATCTCGGCTCCTACAATGAAGGAGTATCTGGTTGTCCTGTAGGTCATGAATTTGAAAACCAGACAAATCAAAAGAGATGGAACAATTATTATCTTATGTTAACTTATGAATAGAGAGTAAATTGTGAGATAGAGTGGGAACGTGAAGGAGATTATGAAGATACAACTTATGATTAGATTATGGTAAGGGAAGAATGCTGTATGGGAAGAGTGCTACCATTTACAGTAGAAATCAAGTCCAACCCTTGGTATGGAAGTGGTTGGTGGAGATTAGTAGCATCTGCGGTGAAGTGAGACGAAGCTTTGGTGTTTAGTACCTATTTGGTTTTAGGGACGGATGATGCATGAGATAGCATGGCACGAGGGGCTGCGAGTGTTTAGTTTAGACTGCATATGTGCCAACATTGTGCAGCGATGTGTCCGGGCTTATTACACATTTGGTAAATTGTTCTGGGTGTGGTTGATGGATGTGTAGTTGGGCTAGCAATGCTTGCAGTTTGGTTGCTGGATCCTCTGCCATGACATGGGTGGGAGTTGAAAGAGGAGTTTCCTCTACTTCGGTTAGGATGGATGCTGTTGTAGAAGGATATAATGTCTTTGGTCAATGAGGTATCCTTGAGTAACTAATTTTGAATATTAATTTCCTCACTGCACAGTAGTGAGTAAAGGACCTTGAGACTTATAGTGGTTTGGCATGTTTGAATGGAAGTGCAAAATGAGTTATAAGCTATAATTAATCCGTGAGGATGTAGTGGATGATGTTTTCGGTGTCTACTCGAGATCTAGTAGCAGCGATGTTGTCGACTAACCCTTTGATTTGGGCGAGATATTGATGCATTGAACTGTCTCCCTTGGTGACATTATGTAGAGCATTGTTTAGTTGGATAACTCTCGTACAGTTGGTGGGTTGTTGCTGGTTCTCAAGGTTTTTCCATATTTCATGAGAAGAAAATAGATTTAGGATATATGGGAGTATCAAGGGGGAGACAATGGAGAATAGTTCAGAGATGAGATTTTGATCGATAAGCCTCCATAATTGGTAGTCTGCACTAGTTTTGGGCGGCTTCTGCTGTGTCTTGAGGTATTCCTCATACCCATTTGTGAAGAAGAGTTGGAGCATCTAAGATCTCCAAATGGCGTAATTCTCATTGTTAAGCTGGATGGTAACAATTTGCTTGATATCAGACATGAGGAATTTGAGAGGGGACGGAGTTGTGAATTCCACCAATGATGTCGAGAGCTAGAGAAGAAGTTGGTTGTGATGATGATTGGCACTAGTGACTTCACATTAAGAAATGTTGAGTAGGAGCTATAGAGCATTAATACTCTGATACCATGATGGAAACCTGCATTAACAGAGAAGATACAAAGGAAACAAAGGAGTTTGCAAAGAAGCAGAAAGTAATTTTAATATTTTCTTCATTGCCGTGAGTGGTTAAACAAGTAAGTAAGTAGTGGAAAAATTAAACGACACAAAGATTTATAGTGGTTTAGTTAAACACGACCAACATCCACTCCCTGAAGACTCCCTCTTCAGATATTGTACAATTACCAAAAGTGACTCTCCTTTTGCCCCCATAGGAAGGCGTTGAAGCCTTTTAAAAAATCCCTTCAACTAATCCCCGGAGCTGTAGAGAACCATCATCCTTTCACACCCTCCAAGTGTAGGCAGAGAACCTTCATCCTTTCACACTTTTTAAGTGTAGGAGGAGTACCTTCGGCTGCTCACACTCTCCAAGTGTTGGAAGAGAATCGTCATCCTTTCTCACTTTCCAAATGTAGGTAGAGTACCTTCGGCTATTCACACTCTTCAAGTGTTGACAGAGAACCATCATCCTTTAACACCCTCCAAGTGTTGGCAGAGACCCCTTAGTTGTTCACACTCACCAAGTATCGGTAGAGAACCAGATCTTCTTCAAAGATCTTCTCACGAGCAATCTAGAAAGTCCAGAGGAAGAGTGAAAAACATAAATCACACAAACATCCTTACCTTTGAGTAACCTTGTGAACCCTTCACACTCCACTAGTAAGAAATATCTCTCAAACACTCTCTCACACTCTCTCCTTCAATTGCCCTTGACAAATCACAAAGAAAATATTTTTAACGTTAGTCTTTAGTGGACCTTTTATACAAAATACATAATAACCCATCCATAAAACTAAAATTTTCAATTTAGAGTGTACACGTTCATACAGTACGATCATATGTTCATATGTAAGAAAAGTATAAATACTGATGCGTATGAATCACTTATGAATATGTGCAAAATCAGTTCGTACACGATCATCATACAGTATGACTAAGTTCAACAGGCACGAACAGTTAGACAATTTCAATTTTCATATGTATGAAATGTAAAGATGAAATAAGCGAGAAAAGACCTGAGACATTCGTCATTGTATGAAATGGGGATCATCCCATACGATCCATACTTAGAAAAAAATTCATTTTAGTACAAAACAAAGGCATTCATCCCTGTATGAAAACTAGGATTGTCTCGTACGATCATCATGCGTGATCAAAATAGAGGCATTTATCCCTATACTAAAATTAAGATCGTCACGTACGATCTTCGTGCGAGAACAAAACAGAGGCGTTCATCCTGATACAAAAATTAAGATCATCCCATACGATCTTCATGTGAGAACAAAACAGAGGCATTCATCCTCGTATGAAAATTTGAATCATCTCGTACAATATATACTTAGAAAAAATATTTTTATTTATGTTCGTTCAACTGCTCATTGGGAAAATAACTGACCAGAACATCCCGTGCGAAGTGATATCGTACAGTATGATTAGTTTAAAAATGTGAATTTTAAACTCTTCCCAGATGTGTGTGTGCTCAGTTACTCAATTACAATCACACTCTCTTAGACTCAATAAAATGGAAATTATAAACTTCAATTACAATAAACTCTAAACTGATCTTGATTTGAAGTCTTCAACAATTCAGAGTACTATTTTCCTAAAATATTAATACACACGAGCAAAATAATTCTTTTAAAATATGTTAGGAGAAATAATAATCAAATCAATAATATTTGGGATCATCAAAAACATATAAGTTGCAAGAATATCAAACATGTAAAACTAAGTAGCAACTATCTCAACAGTCTCCCCCTTTTTTATGATAGAAAAACAATTATTGTTTGAATAAAAATCAAAATCCTAAATTTCACCTTAACTTCCCCTAAATGAATAAGCATATCAATATAAGGGAATTTCTATTAAATATAAATATATATTTTTAATTTTTCAT